CTCTCTCTCTCTCTCTCTCTCTCTCTCTCTCTCTCTCTCTCTCGCTCTCTCTCTCTCTCTCTCTCTCTGTCTCTCTCCTGTTGTTTGTTTTGTGCTGGCAATCACACCCAGGACTCTGAACATGCTAGGCAAATACTATATCATATTCTCAACCCTTCCTTTCTCTCTTACAACAGAACTTGACTTTCTTTGAAATGACGGTGCAATTGATTAAAAAAAACTCCTTAGATTCCCTTGCAGCTAATGGGCTGGGTGACCAAATGAGTGAGGAACACAAGTCGACAGGGCAAGGCTGCTGGGAAAGCTGTCATTTTCCTGATAAACAGCCTGAGCAGACTCCTGCCTTCTCTTTTTGTCTTTTGATCTTCCCTTTATTTATGGACAGACTGTCTAGAGATGAAATAGCCCTATGCTAAGGATGGCAGAACAGAAGGCCAAAAAGAACCTTGGTGTCAGAAGACTTCCTGGAACAGTTTTTTCCCAGCCCTGCACTACTTGTCCCTGGATTTATTGTTCCTTAAAGTGTATAATCCTAGGGCCAGGTATTTAGCTCAGTGGTTCTGCTGCCTGCCTCGCCAAGTACAAGGTCCTGAGTTTGATCCCCCATTCCAGATAGATAGATAGATAGATAGATAGATACGGATATGGATATATAGATATTCCTCTATCTGGTTAAGGTGCTTTAAACAGCTTTCTATAATATTCAATCACAACATAATCCTAACTGATATGTAGGTGATAGAAAGAGGAGAAGCTACTTAGTATCAAGAAACATTGTTTTCTCTTCATGGGCAATTAGTGTTATATAGTTGACATTATTTCTCTTTTTACTTTGGCTGCCAGGAAACTCAAAGTAAAAAAAAAATTTTCCTCATTTTCAGCCTTCTACTTTGACATATATTAAAACTGGTTATGGATTTTTATTTTATTTATACTTTATTATTTTACTGTATATATTTTCCATATAATACATCCAATCATGGTGGAATAAAACAGGGTGCAGTTTTTGTGTGCATGTATGTATACATGCATACATATCTAGAAGGCATACATGTTATATGTTAGCAAGTGTTGAGTAGTTACTACATTCTTATGCATTGTACCAAGCCCTCCCGCCTTTGAGGAGCCAGTAACTGAGCTCATGACCATACATGTACTAGACAAATACAAATGCTCTATCATTGAGCTACATCCTCATCCCTAAACTCTAAACTGGGCACATTTGAATAAGTTATTTTATTTATCTCCACATAGGCCTCTAACCTTGGTTCATTCTCTCTGTCTCCTTCTCCCTCTCTCCCTCTCCTGGAGATTGAACCCAGCCTTCACACTAAGCTAATCCCCAGCCCTTTTTATTTTTATTTTAAGACACAGTCTTGCTAAGTCACTAAGTTGCCCAAGCTGGGCTTGAATTTGCAATCCTGCTTCAGCTTCCCAGAGTTCTGGGATTACAGGTGCATGCTAACGTGCTGGGCTATCATTCAGAGTAATGAACAGAGATTATACTAAACTCCTTAGTGTCCACCCAAGATTATATCCAAGTGGCTACAATCCATTTTTTTTAAAGCCTTCAGACTCAAATTTATCAGTCTTTCCATTTTTCAGTTTTCTGCATGTTGCTGTCCTGAAAGAGGTTAATACTGAGTTTTTCTCTTTCCTGAGTGTCAGGAAGATGCAGGCAAAAGTCTGCTGCTGTGATTACCCTTAATATTCCTTTTGTGAATAAACTGCAGAAATCGTAAATACAAGATAGTTGTCAATTCGTGGAACATATGTATTAAAGAATAGAGCTTGGGCCTCTAAGACTAAGACCTCACACTCGTTTCTTTTTTTAAAAAAAATTTATTGGTACATTTTAAGTATAAAATATGCTGATGTTCATTATTGGGAATTTTTACCCTTTACACAATTCATCTTGGTTCTTATTTTTCCCCCATCCCCCTGCCCTCCCTATTTTCAAAGACTTTGTTTCCATTTTTCCTTTTCTTATATTTATTCCTTTCCCTTCCTTTCTTTCCCCTACCCCTTCTTCCCCTTCCCCTTTGGACCTTTTCTTCCAGTTTCATATTATCTGTTACACATTTTAATCCTTATTTATGCTTTCAGTTTCGCACACCAGAGAAACTATTCGGTATTTGCACATGTGTGTCCAATTTATATCACTTAAGAGTATGGCCTCAATGTGCATTTCTTAAAGAATCAAGATATAGCCCTTTGGGTTGTATAAGAGATACTCAAGAGAGGGGTCTTGCTAGGCTGAAGAATCAGTGTGAAGGAGTTTGGGGCTAGCCCTGGCAACATTATGTGATCCATTTCTTCATTTAAAAGAGAGGGGGCAGTCTGAGGAAGTGTGGGAAGCTGGAAAGGAAAGTTCCCAGTGACCAAGACGGTGAATGATGCCTTCCTGGACTATGCCCATTTCATAGTCTGGTGAGACCAAAGGAATCAGATTACCAGCCAAGGAATTTGTTTAGGGGTTTCAGTATAATATTAATTCCTGCAACAAATATTTATTGAGTGTGTCTAAGTGCCAGATCCTATTCTAGGCATGGGAGAAATATCTGTGAATAAAAAAGACAAAAGTCCCAGTCCTCCTGGAAAGGAAGAGAAATAATGTATCTAACAGAGTAAGATATACAGTGTGTTAGAAGATAAATGTGGAAAAAGAAAAAAGTAGAGCAGACAATAGATGTCATCTAATGGGCATCTACAAGTGTCCATTGTGCTGAGCATTTTAATGTGTTACTCCCTCCAATCTTCCCTGAAATGCTGAGATTTTCACTTCACAGATGAAGGAACTGAGACCAAGGGAAGAAATTTGTCAAAGATTATGCTGCCATAAGCAAAAAGGAATCTGAACTCAATTCTGTGCCCTTAACTGCATCTGCAAAGCATGAGGAAGCCTCAAGAAGCCGCCATATTACTTACCCAACTTCCATCCCTGTCAAAAGCAGGTTTGAAGCGTCTCCCTTTGGCCATTCTCTCCAGGAAGCTGAAGGCAGCTGAGGTTGGTTCCCTCACTTCTCTAGGGCCTCAAAAGCTCTACACATCCACTCCTCCTCCTGGTCCCTGGTCTGTACTCAGTGTCTCCCAGGAGACAATGTTAGGGTGCCCACTGTTGCCAAGGAGCAGAAGCCTGCATCACAGTGGGTGGCAGAGCTTTTTAAGGCCCCTGAGAATTCCTGTCACTAGCTCCTTCCAACTGAAGCTTCCCAAAGGAAGAGGCAGACAGCCCCACTAGGTCCTGACAGAGGAAGCCCAGAAAAGGGTCAGACAAGGTGAGAACAAGATAATCTTGGGATACTGACAAATATTTTCACCCTCTAAATCCTGGAACCAGTAATATTTGAGTTAATGTGTCCATGGTAACCTTCTATCTCAACTTCTTATTTATCAAAGAAGTAAACTGAGTCCTGGGCTGGGATTACCTTGTCCACATCATGGATAGTACCATGCCGGGACCCAACCCTACTGCTGCCTCCTTTCATAGCTGTCTGTGTGTCCCGCTCCAATCCAGCCTCGGGACACCCTGACAACCACTCTCACCTGTTTGGCACAGCATGGAGACCACAAAGAAGGAACATCCATGAATGATTCTTATAAGCCAGATGCTCAACCAAATAAAACACTTCCCCATGTTTTCATTTTATGTATTCTCTATGAAAACCTTCAATGCTGACAAAGAGGAAACAAGGTCACATGGCCAATAGATGGAACACTAGGAGACCAAACCAAGGTCACTGGACAGTTCCAGATCTCACAAGGCTTTCCAAGGGCCACCTGGCCACCCTGAGGCTGTGCAGGCTGTTCCTGAAACCTGGCCAGTCATCCTGGGCCTGGACACACAGGTCTTGCCTCATTTCTGCTTTTTTCTTTCTCATTTTTGCATTTCTGCTCTCTGGACAGATTTCTAGGAAATTGTGTCCTCCACTCCTGCCTCCCCAAATCATTTCCCAAGGTTCTAGCAAGAGTTTCCATGGCAGCAATATGGGGCTTTATCCTTGCCAGCACTGACATCCAGAGAGGTGGGCTACTGGGTGAAGCCAGAGGTGCAGCACTACTATTGTATCTTTGATGCTAAAGCCGTGGCTAAAGAGAGAGGAGACAGATATGGGCATCAGGAGTTGCTGGTGCTGAGAGCCACTGTGCCAGCCCCAGACGTGCCATGGGATTAATAAACCCTTCCTGGGATTCTGCCACCTACTGACAAACCCAATGCACCAGATCCCTTGGTCTTCGGCTCTACCAAGTGTTGCTGCCACTCTCCAGAGCTGTGGTGCAAGTACATAACCCAGCAGTGGCACAAGAGGCCTCCTTGTTCTTTAGCCTGGCCAGGACTTGTTCATTTGGAACAGGGAACCCAGAATAACACAAGCTCAACCACGATAGACCTTTATTTTTCTCTCTGTTCAGGGCTTGGTGAGGCGGCTCTGCCATGCAGGGTCCCCAGAGAGAGGCTCCCTCCTGCCTGTCACCACTCAACCAGCTCCAGGGGGCAGCCGTCATCTCCTGGGCCCAGATGTGACATCTGCATTTCAGGCAGCACAGGGGGTGGGAAGGAAATGCGGGGAAGAGTTGATCCCGATGTACCATGTTGGAGGCAGCTCTTTGACTCCTGACACACACTTCTCATGAACTCAGCTGGTTCCTTCTAAGAAAGGTTCCTGCACCTGTCACACAACCCTTCTTCTCCCAGCCAGAACTGAAACTGCATGACCATATTTTGCTGTGAAAGAGGCTGTGAAATAGGTTTTGTTCTGTTGGGTCATTGTCTCTCTAGACGTTCTGTCACCACGAAAGAGACAGAAAACTGTAACAAAGGACAACCTGGAGACTCTGCCACCCCAATGGGTGCTGTCGGAGCTTGAATTTGAATTTCCTTGAAATTCCTTGAATTTCCCTGAATGAGCCTAACTTCCTTCCTCATGGCAAAGTTAGCCAGTTCAGCAGAAGAGGATGGAGCATGCTATCTACTTCTCAGTATTGCAGTGACATGGGACCCCCAGAATACTTTGTGAACTCTAAAATGCTTTGCAACAACAAGGAAGGACATAGATGAAAAGCTCTTCAGTGTTTACTAAGTTCTTTTATAGTCATTGTTTTAAATAACTTTCACATCAACCCTAAGAGGTGTCCTGATTATATTCCTTTTGTGTTTACCACCCCTCCCTTCATTCTCCATCCATCCCCACCTGACCTGCATCCTGGACCTACAAAGACTGCACTGCCTATTCTCTTGTTTTCCAGCTCTGGTTGGTGTTGTGTTGATTGAAGCCCAGAGACAATGGATGGAGGTAGAACAATTTATTAGCACGACAACTACAGCAGCATATCGGGGTATGAAGCAGAGACTTCAGCACCCCCGTCCCACAGGGCAGCAATTTTAAGCATGGGGTAGGGGGTAGAGGATGGAATGACGAAGTTAGCTGGCTTTCAACTTAGCAGAGAAGTTAGGCTTGGGGTTGGGGGAAGGCGTAAAGCTAGCAGTTGGATTTATCCAGTGGAAATTGGAAACTGAGGCCAAGTTCAATGACAGATCAAATGATGTTTCATTACAGCTCCTTGACTCTGTTAAATTACTGGGCAGTGACTTTACAGGGAGATCCTTTTCAATTCCCTTTCCTCAATCTGTATAAAGCAGGGCCTGTTTAGATGCCTACAGCTTGGCCACAGTTCCCTCTAAGGCACGCTCTTGTAGGCCCAACTGATTGACATCGATCTGTGCTGCTCCAGGCCCTTGGCATTGAAGCAAAGTAGGGCTGCATCTCAACACTGAAGGTGAAGGGTCAGTAAGGACTCTGCTTCTCCTGAGCCCTAAGGTAAAAAGTGAAGTCAGTAAGAGAGAGGAAGACAGAGATTGAGAATGTACAAGACTCAGAACAGTGCCATTTCCAACACTTTGCTTGTGCATTCACTTTGTCTCCACCAATGGAGCAGAAAAATCTTTAGAAATGAAAACTCATTTTAAAATATATTGTGCCTCTCCTCTACATTTGGTCTTATGCTCTGTTAAACAAGGTATATGGACTCTGATTAAGGTATATTCCGATTTCCCCCCTTTTGAGTGATTGTTAAAATTAACAGATTTGGCCAAGAAAATCAAAAGAGAATAAAGAAAACCTGGCCAGGAAAATGAAATTTAATTTTTCTTCTGCTAGGATTTCTTGGTCATTTCCATTTGAAAGGCTTGTGAGGTCTGCAACTGTCCAGACTGGGGTAGAGATGTTCATTTGTTGATGTTATTATTTTTGGAAGTTTAAATTACAGGGTATGCAAATGGCAGAGGGGCAAGCTTGGCCCTGCTTTGTGCCTTTGCATATGCTGAGCCCTGCTCAGGATGTAATAGTTCGAAACAGCCTCTCAGGGGGTGTCTATAAGGGCAACAGATATATACGACCCAGTTTAATTGCTTCTTCAGCAAATATTAGTGCATACCCACCATGGACTAGCACTGCTTTTAGATAACAGTAAAACAATCACCAAAAATCTGTTCTTTGTTTTTTTGGTACTGGAGATTAAACTTGGGATCTTGCACTTATGATGCAGGCAGTGGAACAACTGAGCTAAATCCTTGGCCCCCAAAGTCAGTCCTTAATAAATGAATAGCAAATCATTACTTTTGCAATACATCTACTGACCCGTGCCCCAACATTACTCATTAGCCAAAAATTGTTTTCATTGATTTATCTGCAACAGTTAAAGCATTCCGCACAATGTATTTTTTGACACAACAGTTTTTGTGCACTTTGTATTTTAGAGCTTTTACCTCCAAATCCAAAGTGGTAAGGATTTTATGATAGGTGAATATGCCCCTCTCTCATGCCTTTCCAATGCAATATGGCATTCTCTATTTTAATGAATAATTTGCTGTCTTTTGCAGGATAGAAAGTGGAAGAATTATCAGTGCTGCACAGGAATGCTTTCACACGTGTGTATGTGTCCACCCAAGGTGTACCCACAAGTGCTCAGATTCAGTGTGCACAGGCAAGCTATAGCTTCTTGTTCTACTGAATAAAAGGTTCACAAGGAGGCCAGGGTTGCTTTGCCACCATGGGGAAGGGGGTGTGGGTTGGAGCAGAGGCTGGAGGCAGAGCAACAAAGTGGATCATCCATGCAGTCCCAAGAGCTTTGGTCGGGCACCTTGTCCTCTGTGACCTTGACCAGCTGGCCACTGTCAGAAGGAGGCAAAGATGCAGGAAATAGGTGACAATAACTACAATAAAAGTCAAGCTTTGGCCTTTTGAAGAAAAAGCACCTTTTCTTTTGCAGGGTGAGAAATAAGGCTCACACTGAAATGCAGCAGGCATGTTGTGTTTAGTTTTTTCTTTAAATTCTGAAAAAAAGACGGGTGGAAGTATCTCATTCGCTCCATTTCTCTGCTTGCTGGAGTTTTATGCCTATTTCTCCTTCTGAGTTTCAGTATTTACATGAAGATGTTGTGCTACTGTTTCACCCCCTGGAAAGACAGCTGCTTTTGTCCTCATGGTTTGGATGGGACAGTCTTCCAAAAACCCAGAATAAAAGACAGCAGTAATTGCATGTGTGGTTCAAAATGAAGAGCTCCAAAGTTGAAAACACCAGCCTCCAGAATCATAAAGGAAAATAGCAAAATAAATATCTATTTTTCAACTGGATATAAAATAAACAGTATCTTGGAACATGACAGAAAGTTGAGAGAGACAGGGAGAGAGAGGAGGCAGGGTGTCTAATGAAGAAATCTTTTAAAAACCTTCCCGATTCTCTTATTTTGTTCTATAAAACATAATGGAGATTCCATCAACTTGGCAGGAAATTGCAAGCTAATAAAAGAGCCTTGTTAGTAAGATAATAAGAAGAGAAAGTCATAAAAGACAGACTTGGGCTGAAATCTGGCTTTAGGCCTCTCCTCTCTCCAGCTCTACAGGGACTCAGGGTTCATCAACTCAGTTAATCATGTGGATGACCACCAATTCGTCCTTTTTAGCTTTTGTTCTTTCTTCACATGCCAGGGCATTTTTGCCCAGAGGGTGTGCCTGGAAAGGCAGACAGGAAATATACACAGCCTTATGTCTTACCATGTTGCCTTCTACACCCGAGTCATCTGCTTATTTAAGTCTGATGGAGAACCAGAGGCGGATCCAAGTCAACCTCGATGCCTTCCATGCTGTTTTGTTCTTGGTGGTTTTCAGCTCTCCAAACCCCCTGTCCCCTGCTTCCACCACGTCTTGTCACCCAAATATCATCACTGCCTTCTTTTTCCTTCTTCCTTCTGATGTTTGAGTTGGCTGGGAGGGAGGGAACCCTTCTCAATTTATGTTGCTTGGACCAAGCAGAATCAGCATAAGCTGAGAATTTATCAAGAATGCAGAATCTCAAAACTTTCTCCACATCTTCCAAATCAGAAACTGCATTTCCAAAAGATTCCAGGCAGTTCTCATGTTTGAGAAGCGCTCGCTTACTTACTGAATAAGACAGAAGACTCACCTTTGCGGCATATGAATTTAGTACTTCCTTGGTTCCAAAGAAAGGACAGTAGATTAAGTGTCCTTTTGGGAACCTTTGGTCAACCTTGTACCTACAGATATGCATTTAATCTTGGGCCCCTCCTGCTGCCTTTAATTGGACAGTAACCACAAGACTTTTAAAGATTTGGAAGCCAAAGTTAGAGGTCAAAGAGTGGGTTGGCATCAGATTTATTTAGAAGGGTTTTCCCTCGGGCCCAATGCCTTTCTAGAGGGCCCCAGGTTCTCCTTGCAGAGTGCCTGGTGTGGGTAAGGGAGGGATACTAGGTTCCCCTGGCGGATCCTGAGACACATGCTGTTTCTTTGCCTAGTTGCATAAACATGCTGCAGAGTGGTTATCTTAATGTTTAATTTAGATTGCTGCCCCATTGATTCCACTGTGACTTGGGCAAATGAGAGTAAACCAAATTCATGGTTTCTTCATGCTACGGTCTAGTCATTCCCATTGTACGAGAATGACCACATAAGGGTTGTGCGCCTAATTAAGCACTTAGTAAATACCCCTCTCCCTCTGGACTGAGTCATTTGCTCTACCCATTGTGGGAATGAGATCAAGCTGGGCAGTGAATGTGGGTAATTCATGCAGGGAGAACTCATTTAAGGTGAGGGTAGATTTATTGGAATTAGCTATTTCAGGCAGTAGAGAGAAAGTATGATCGCTACTCAGGTTGTTCCAATATTCCTTTACAAACAATGAGGTGTGATTGTGAATCCAAACACTTTGAGCTCACATGTGGGGGGACCTCTTAGGGCTGGCATCCCAGTGTAGAGGTGTTTGGCTGTACCCGAGGAGCTCAGATATTTAGGAAGAGGCTGTGTCATTGGTATGCTCATAGCTCGCTGCTGCATGATTTTTCAAAAGTAACTTAATGCATCTAATTGTTCTGTGGTGAGATAAGATCACTCCATTTTATCTGAAGTCACAAGACAGCTTATTGACTGCACTGTCTTACTGGTGCAGCACATAATGGCATTGTTAGGGGAAATGTCAGCAAAGGCAGTGGAGGGTGGAAAAACATGAAATCAAATTTCTCACATGACAGTAGCTTGAATATCTGTCAGGCTTTTGCTCCCACCAAATATGGCCAAGCATTCTCTGCAAGCTGATTTGATCAGCCAAGGTACAGTGTCCAGCCAACCTAACCAGCAGCTACACATTTTAACGAGTCCCTACTCATCTTCCTCCCAGGAAGAGGTCTAAATGCTCTTTCCCACATCTTACCAGTTTTTTCCCCCAAAAAAATCATTTTCATAACATCCTTAGTGTCTAAGACTTCATGTTGTAGCCTTTCATCAGCCATCTGCCAGGGTAGAAGCATCCATAAGACATCTTCTTTTGCTGGCATAATTAAAAGAGATTCTCTACTTTTGAATGTTGTGTTACATTTACATTCAAAGTTATTTTGCTCTCTCTTTGCCCTTGCCCTCAAGGAATTGTGGGAATTCAAGTTAATAGGCTTTTAATGGTTCTGTGATAACTGTGATTATAAACTGTGAATCAGATCAGGGGGAGCATCCAAGTTCAGAGGAATTTCACGCAAAGATACCACCGTGGCTTTTGATGCTTGGTGGAGATTGGTTTTCAGTGTTCAGATACCAACATCCTTAAAAAAAAAAAAGAAAAAAAATTAAAGGCACCTCATTTGCTTTGCAATTGCTTTGATAACAATCGTGAAGCATTTAACTATACATTCTCTTTTTGATATGTTAGCAGTATTTAGAGACGCATCCTGTTGCTAAAAATTAAATTTCAAAGTCTACAATTGTATTTCCTGCTTCCTTTTAAAGGGGAAGATGCTGGCTTATTTAAAACACATGCAACATGTTGAGGACACACACACACACACACACACACACACACACACACACAAACCCCGCCTTCCACCTTTCACTGCCAAATATTTAGAAATAAATTTTTACTGTGTTCTCTGAACATATAATTACTGCTTTGAGGCTAGTTAATGAAAATATACTTTTCTTTGAAACATGTTGGCTCTACTAAATGAGCCCGTCCTTTTGAGTCCATAGATGAATCGATTGTGCGCCTCCTTGAAAAAAGAAGCATTCTGATCATTGTTGCCAGATGTCTCAAGAAAGCCTGCCAAGCTGGGGCTAGGAACACAGTCTTAAAATAGTAGGCATGTACTTGAGCCACTAGCCAATGAGAGCCCACACAGCAAATTAGCTCTTGTTCCCATTGGCCAGAGGAGCTGGGACTTCTGTATGGCTAGCCCAGGGATATTCTCCTTCTTTAGTCAATTATCACTGGCATCTAAAAAGGTCACAAAAAATGGTCAGTCCTCAGTTTTACTAAACTGCCTTGCTCGAACACTTCTGCTGATTTCCCAGGAACATCCCTGTGGCCATCCCTGGAGACCAGGCCATTGTGAAGGCAAAATAACTCCTGTAGTTGGAATAGTTCCAAGTGGCAAAGCCTTTGGAGAAAAGAGCTTGCTCTTAGGTAGAGGAGTCCTGGCGTGCTGGCCCCCTTGAGACTCATGAGGATGGACGGATGGACCCTCAGGAATGGAGCACACAATGCCATCTTCTTCATCTCCAGGCAGAGATTCCTTCACCTAAATTTTGAAAGAGACTTTTGAACAAAAAGCAGAAGGCAGGACCAGAACCTTAAAGGTGAGCCGTAAAGAACAAAGAGCATTGCAGCAGGAAGTCCCCCCCAGTGAGGATGGCTCTCAGTAGCACCTGTCCACAGGGCAGCCTGCAGCACTTGATTCACTGCTCAGTGGTGCTGCCAGGACCAGCAAGAGGATCAAAAATAAAGAAATTACAATTGGCAGCAAGGAGCTACTACATTTGGTAGCGATGGCTCCCCAAAAGCCTTGAAAATATCTATATTTTATGATCCAGCAATTCTACCTCTGAGAAATTACCCCCCCCCGACTACATGGATTTGCACAGAGATTTATCCCTAAGCTCTCTCATTACAGTATTTGTTGGGGGAAAATTGAAACATAATAGGAATGCAATTGAGCCCAATATAGTAATGAAAAATATAGAACACAGAAAAGTACATATCTTATTGTTTAATAAAAAGAAAGGTACATACATATGATTCTATTTTTGTAAAACTATATATGTAGGTTAGAAATGTAAGATTACAAAAACATTTTAGAAGTTTCCATTTTCTTCACTGGGATTTTTCTAAATTCCATAATGAGAATATATTACTATTGTGGTCAGAAACAAAATTTTGAATTTTTCTTTAAGAAAAAAGCACGGTAAGCCAAGTGTGTGGCACACACCTATAATCCCAGCACTGTAGGAGACTGAGGTACGAGGATTGTACATTTGAGCCCAGCCTGGGGAACTTGTCAACTTAGCAAAACCCTATCCCAAAAAATTTTTAAAAGGAATATAGCTCAGTTCAGGGGCCCTGGGTTCAGACCCCAAGACCAAGGAAAAAGGCATATCAAACACAGTAATGTGTGACCAATGTCTTGCAGCCATTCAAGACCCAGACAAGAAAGATATGTAATTAAATTACAACATGTACAGAATCAGTGATGGTCTGCTAAGAACAGAGGACCAGACTGAGTGCAGGGTCAACTCAAGAATTTGCATGAGTTCTACAGGCAATCCTCTGAATTGCATTAGGTGCTGAAGATAACTCAGTATGAGAGGTAGTTCATATTCTATAGGGCTCACCGCCTAAGGAGTGCACCCATATTTCTGCTGAAGCAAAGACACCCAACTCTTGGAGCAGGCAAAGACAGTCTCCCTGGAACTGTCATGTCAGCTCCTTTGAGTCCCCATTAGTAGGTCTTGCATTACGGAAAGTGAACTCATATAAAGCATCAGATCTGCTGAGTCATGACACTTGGCCTTACCCCAGACTCTGAAGAGGGAAGCCTTGTGATCCAACAATGAGAAATAACAAAGCTTTGAGTTCCAGTAAAATCCCTGATAAGATCTTTTAAGTGGTAAGCCCAAGATGTGCTAAATTATCTTTATGCGTTTCTCTAAATGCAATTGTGAAATTTTCAAAGCATCTACCCTTAGGAATCAAAAAGGGGTAGATGGTGTCAATTTGGGAAAAGTATTAAAAAGCTTTTGGAGAATGACTTTTTGTGTCTACTACTAATTTTTATAGTAATACGAGTATACTTGATAGATTACTTTGATAGATTTTTTTCCCT